AGTGCATCGTGAAAAGAGCGTGAAAAATCAGCTCATCCACATGGACAGAGAGGGACACTAAAGCATTCCCCTCTGGTTGGAATTCAAGAACTCTCTTTATCCCTTGCAAGATTTTGAAAACCGACTATTACACCATTTTAGGCTCATGGAAACTTGGTGTACATGTTGGATTTATAGGCTCATGGAAACTAGGTGTACGTGTTGGATTTATAGGTCCCATATTGATCTCTACACCAGAGCCTCAACCTTGGACAAACCACACCCTTGTAATAAAATTAAAATCAAATTAGTTAACATACCCACCAATAAAATTAACACTAAAATTCCCACAATTGGAACACCAAAACACTACGCTTATGTTCGCCAAAAAGAATCAACCCCATACCTACATGCATAGTGAAAAGAAGTTAAAGTTATTAGTAACTAACTACCCTATTTTATCATACAATTTTATGATATAGAAGTCAAAGCTATGTTTCAACAATATTTTGTGTTTTAAAAATTTTTTATCATAGAAATTTTTTATAACCTATTTTATATAGGGAAAATTGTTTCATGGGGGCTAGACCACATTTCATGGAGATCATAAATATGAAAAAATATGCGGTCCAGAAAGTGTAAAGCATCCATCTTAAAGATGGATGCAATTAGGTGTTCCATTTAAAAATAATGGAAACTAACGGTCCAAATATTTTCTTACTAGAATTATTATTTTTCGTTTTTTAAATTTATTTATTTTTTCATATTCATGATCTCCATGTTAGAGATTACATGTCCTTAAAAACCAAGTCTTAAAATCCATCTAAAAAATATATTTATTAAGAGGCCCGCATTTCTACATATGCAAGCTTGGCCACATAGAAACTGGGTCCTTTATATAGAAGGAAAAATTTATACAAGGTTGCAACCTTAAATTATAAAACTACAGATGCATCTCAAAAATCTATCGTAAAAAATTATTTTAATGTTGAAAAACCCTCTAATTGATCATCTCGACATCGAGATGTATGAATATGAAAAAAAAAAAAAGATTTTTAGTCCCAGAAATAATGCATCTTGCAACACATTATCTAGACTGTTCATTTTCAAAATCTTCATATATTTATAGATCTACTTGATTTTAACCCTTTTTAGAGTTTAAAA